TTTTGGCCAAAATAAAATGATTTGGAAGTTTGATTCTCATAGTGCCACATTATTTTTTCCTTTTTGAAAAAATAATAATAAGGATAACAAATGCAAGTTACATAAAACTACTGCAAGTTTTTACACATTATTATCAATTAAAACAATACAAGATGGAATACAAGAAAACAAAGGGGAAGAAAAGGAAAAAAACAATTCTTTTACGACACGATACATAATTCAAAAGTCAAACTTTTTAATTTTGACCATCAATTTGGACATATAACAGAATAGTTTAACTTTCAAAATTCAAAAGATGTCTCATAAACTGAGACAGACTAAATCTTGTTAGTCATATGGTGTAGCCACCAAATACAAGTTGTTTTTCATTGTAGCAGCAGCACCAAAACCTTCAGTCATATCTAAATCTTGTGGATTCATACCATTAGGAAGTGTCCAATCGAAATGATAAAGTAATCTAGCCAATGTGAGTTCACTACTTGCCGTAGCAAATAACATTCCTGGACAAACCCTTTTTCCAAATCCAAATGCCAAAAACTCCATAGGAACATTGGATGATCCTTTGATCATTTTAACATCATTATCGACATAATTGTTGAATCGATCAGGCATGAATTTCTCTGGATCGTGCCAATATTCAGGATCTCTTCCCATTGCATACAAATTCATCAAGGCTATTGTTTTATTAGGTATAACATACCCATTAATCGCGATTTCCTCTATTGATTCTCTTGGTATAGCTAAGGGACCTGGAGGATGAAGTCTTAGAGTTTCTTTCACAATCAATTTCAAGTATTTCAAATTTTGTACATCGATATGATCAACTTTCTTTTTCCCTTTTAAAACCTCTCTAACTTCAACTTGGGCTTTTTTCATCATATTTCGATTTTTCAATAATTCAGCCATGGCCCATTCCACTAAAATTGATGTCGTATCTGTTCCACCGATGAACATATCCTGTATTTCAGATAAATTTCATAAATGATCATATAGTTATTTATCGATAATTTTATTTAAAATCAAAACAATTTTTACAAAAGAGGATGGACTCGGCTTAATTAATCCAACTTTTAACCCTTCGATAACTGAATATGCCCTTTTAACTTGACTTTAACTGTGTGCGCACAACTAAAAACTTCAACTTGTATAAAATTGAACAAATATCCAAACAAAATGTAATGCTTTCAATAAGTTATGTACTTACCAAGATAATAGCTTTGACGTTATCTCTTGTTATAGGGACTTGAAAATTGTGGCTCTCCTTCTCTCTAAGCCTTAGAAGAAGGTGCAAAAGATCTTCCTCATCAACATTATTTTTTCTAATACTTTCTTCGTGTTCGTGAACAATTTCTTCTAGAAGGCGATCACATAATTCATGATGCACTTTCAGTAACTTTTGATTAGATCCTGTAATATATCTATCGAGAAACTTGAGGGAAGGGAACAAATCCGATATATTAAAAAGTCCCACTAGAGGTGTTATTTTTCTTATCGTAGATATCAACGAATCCGAATCGTTACAAGTCGTTCCAACGGTAACCCTACAAATAATAGCACAAGAGAGTGAGTTGAGACACTCGTACACATTAATTAGGGTACCTTTAGATGATGACTCTTTAATATTTTTCACTAAGCGCGAAATTTCCTCTTCCATAAGAGGATAATTCGAGTGAATTCTTCTTGTACTGAGGATCTCTGATGTGCAAATTTTGCGCATCTGTTTCCAGTAATCACCATAGGGAGCAAAAGCAATGTCTCTACCGTTGTAAGCCACGGTTTCCGAGACAAGGAGCTCGGGCCTATGAGAGAGGATAGTGTCACTTGTTTTCATCAATTCTTTAAGTATTTTATACGAAGAAATGACAATAGTTGAACGTTCACCGAGTTTTAGGTGCATCAACGGTCCATATTTCTTCGATAACTCCTTGAGTGTGATGTAAGGTCGTGAAATTTCGAGTTGGTGTAAGTTTCCGATGATTGAAAGTTTCCATGGACCCGGAGGCAATTTTTTTGATTTTTTGTGATTTTTAACGATTGCAAGAAGTAAAGGTAAGAAAATGAGAAAAATTGTGAAAATGAAGGAGGAGACTTCCATAATGTGTTAAATTGACTTGATAAATAAAAGAAGGGATAATTTAATTTAACAAATGTGTCTTCTAATTTATACAACAATATATTGGCAAGAATAATGTACAAAATAATTCATGAAATGGGATGGAAGGGACATGGTGGGGTGGGTGGGGGACACAATTTTAAAGTGGCATGGAAAGTTTATTAATATCACCATATCTATAACTCAATAGTTTAAAGGGTTAATTATCAGTCTTTTCTTGAGTTTTCGATATTACAATATTTATGTCATAGTTCAGTCTCTAGATATATATAGATATATGTATGTGATTATGCTGAGTATCTGTGTTTAAGTGAAGGGGGTGGGTCAGACCCACCTTATAATACTTTTTCCGTTCACCTTTATCAGTTTATTTTTTTAAAGTAGGTTTTTCATTTTTAACATATTAAGAAAATAAAATTAATCTTTTATCATATTTTATCCTTTGCATTAATCACTTATTCTCCAAATCAATTTTCAAAACATAATTCTAAACATCAATCAATTTTCTTTGACTTATCTAATGAAGCCCCTGAGGGAACTTTTGGGGAAAAAAATCAATATGAGCATTATGTTAAATTTTTATGTTAATCATTTTTAAGAGACATGAAACGTTCAAATAAACAAATAAAAGTGAATTGACAAACAAGGTTTGCAGGATCATAACGATTGGTTGATGAGTTGTTTGATTATCTTTGTTTGTTAATTTATTTGAATAATTGAATCAAATCGAACTTAGAAAGATTTTTCACCTAAAAAGTTTATTCAAATAAGCTTTGAATTTTGTAATTTTAAACTAAATATATATAAATGTATCAAAATATCTTTTGATCTTATAATCTTAAATATATCATATAAAATTTGAGATTACAAAATTATCAAAAAAAATTTTAAAAAAAAAGCATTCTTTTTAAAAGAATTAATTTAGAAGGAAAATAGAAACCAATGAATTGAAACAAAGAAATAACCTAATATCGATGGAAGTAAAAGTACAATTGGTGGTGCGACGGATAAAGTTATTTCTTCTTTAATTAAAGATTTCTAATTTGAGCTCTAAATATTGAGATATTCTTGATAGGAAACACTTCGATCTAAATGAGATTTGATGTGATAGCACTACTAAAATCGTACTCCAATAATATATATATATATATATATATATATATATATATATATATAAT